AATGCTGTGGTGTTTTGTGATATGCTGTGGTGTCTTGCACTTCAGGGCCACCGTAATTTGGCGCGATGTGTAGCTTTTCTTTATGTTTAGAGTGAGACTAATACACAGAGGTCCTGATGAATTGTTGCAGGGTGTGTATCTGTACATGTGGGCTTATCATGCAATGGAATGTCCCCTCACCAAGAGAAACAGTCCTCGGTATAGCAGAGGCCTCTCAGGGGGTCCTCAAGGAGAGCCTCTTCCTACATTAACCCAATTACGACTTGAACAAGAGTGATGAGGCTCAATAGTGCAGTTCCTGCCTTCACAGTGGCATGTAACATAGGGACAAAGGCTCCACATCAAGGACCACTGCAGGACTGAGGGTACATGATGAGAATGTGAGGTGATGAACAAGAGGCCCTGCTGATGTCAACAGGATCAACTTGAGCACTGATTTAGCAACAGGAGAGCCTTTGTGTTCACCATGGCGCGCAGGAACTGAAGAAGCATAGGCCATGTGAGATGTCAGTCTTCATCACCACGGCTAGCGTGGACTTTGTTCCATTACAACAACATGTCAACATTTCGTGACAGAGTTCATGAGTGGACACACCATCAGTGCTGCGCTCATCAAACCTACGGCCTTGTCGTGTACTCATTAATGAACCTCATTATGTGGGTGCAAAAGAGAACACAGTGCACTGAGATATCCTAAATGAGGACCACATGTGTAGACTTACTACACCCACTTCTCAGCTCGCAGTATATTTCATTGTCTCCCTTCAGGATTGCATGATTGGAGCCAAAGTTCAAGATTGAAATTCCCAGCCAAGAAATCAGGCAGCCATGCCCTTATTACCAAGACCCAGCGCTGCTTTCTTACTGTATTTTGGGACTATGATCAAGTGGAGCATGGCGGCCTTTACCCCAGAACTGAACACAGCTCATGAGAGTTTTGTAAATCCAGAATCAGAAGATTTGACTCATCATCCCTTCAACACAAAGTGAGTCCTGCTATCCTATCATATTTACTGGGTCATTGCAGATTGACTTATACCAGCGTTTCTCAAAGTGTGGGGCTCGCCACACTGGTGGGGCGCAGAGATGTGATAGGTGGGTCGCGAATGGACGCGATGAACGGGAGATCATTATTTTATTTTTTTTATTAATTATTTGGACCTCAGGCCGGAATCTAACCTGGGTCCTCGCGGGCACTGTTACGGCCCGTCCACACGGCGGCGTGCATTAAGCTTCAACGCTTCTGCCCATTCACTTTGAATGGGGTGACGTCACACTTTGCCGAACTGCATTGTGGTTCCGTCGCTTCGCTTTGCTCGCATTGCTGGCTTCAAAAGTTGAGCAAAGTTCAACTTGTGAAGCTTCGACGGAAGCTTCACAAGTATGCCAGTACAAGCTCTTGCCAATCAAACCGTGTGCTTGTTTGTCCGGGGTGGGAGATTCATGTGATTGGTTGTTGGTCGAGTTTCAGACACGCCCACCGGCAAGCTTCAACGCACGCCGCCGTGTGGACGCTGCATTACGGTCCGTCCACACGGGCCTATGTTTATTTTATTTTTTAACGCAAGCCGTCTTCGCAACGGAGGAGCACACAGCCTCTGTGAGCGAGCAAGACAGAGAGAGAGAGAGAGAGCTAGAGAGAGCACACCTTTATCTATTTAATATAGCCTAGTTGTAAAAACTAAAGTAAGAAATCATTCCAGTGTGTACTATAGGACAGTAAAAAAACATAAAACAGTTAGTAAAATATGCATAAATAAAAATATGCATAAATAAAAAGAAAGAATGCTAACTAGGTAACATAAGATCAGAATAAACAAGTTGAAATGATTTGTTATTGGTTGTGATCATATTCTAAAGATGTTTGGATTATTGAAAAGTATACAGCTCCCTTTTATCTGAGTGTTGAGAGCTGTATCCATAAATTCATGTTGTGCTCAAAGTGCACCAGATTGATGCATTTCACTTCAACATTTAAAAACAAATCTGTTAAAATGTGCTAAATACATACACTGCGAAAAAGAGGAGTAAAAGTGGCTCACGACTTGTTTTATTTTTTGAAAGTAGCTCTCGTCCTAAAAAAGGTTGGAGACCCCTGTTATAGAACGATACATTAGACAATTTTAAGCTTGGCCTACCATTTGATTGGAGCGATGAGGAACAGGTGGGGCTTGAAAAGTATGGGATTAGTTTTGTTTCATAAAGATAAAGCAACACTTTCTCAGAATCAAGCAAAACTAAGAGTTTAAGAGAAAGAAAAACCGAGTCAAGCTAAAATAAATGTAATGTAAAAAATAAAACTATAAGTTGCAAACAAATCATTTGTGCAATCATGTAAACTATCTTTGTTTTAACATATCTTTGTGTTTGCAGTTCTCTTTTCTTCTTTCTCAATGATCAGACTTTTGCTCTCGCTGCAGCTCTTCTCGTTTGCGCTCCCTCATTTTTTGTTTTCGATTTTGACACAAATGTCCCAGGTGGGCGGGACTCAGTTTTTGAGTGACAGCCCAGTCCTCCAGCGATTGTACAATGCAGCTGCGGTGTGGTAGCTGAGCGTGGATAGAACACCCCCAGCACAGAAGAACTAGCATTTCAATTATTATAATACTACAAGTGAAAATATATGTAAGTATTGCTAATTTGTGTTGTTTGTGCTGTACTATATGGTCTGTTTCTTTATTGTGGTAAGTGAGAAGAAAAGTTGTGTTGTGAAAGTTAGCTTGTGCTACCTTTTGATCCATAACAATGCAAGCTAAGTAGCCTAACAGTTAGCTACATAGCTAGCAGTGAGTGAGCGTTCAGACACCGGCGCACACACTCAAACAGACTCGTGTGCCTGACTCTACCACCAGGCTTTCATGATTCTGTTTAGATATGCAAGTATAAGCCATGATAGCTTATTTTATTAACACGCTAATTTGATATGAAAATCAATGGAGGCTGAGTTAACTTTGTAGGAAAACCTACCGTCCATGATGCCCCTGAGCTGTGTTTTATTTGTTAACTTCATATTTTTCATTTCCTAAAACATTTATTGCCCTCTCATATTAACAGTGTGGATCATTGAGACAGCGTGGCGTCCAGAGTCTTATCCCGTTTTCCCACTTCCTCTGAGGGGACAGCACGGAGGGGGGGGGGGCATGAAGAAAGACCTGCACCAGCTTCATCCACGCGTTGCTGTTATCACTGGCTCAGTGTCATTTCATTTGACCAAATGTCTTTACATTTAATAGATTTTATTATTATCCACCTTTTTGTTTTATGTCCTTTTATTTAAAACATTCTTTGAGACTTCTTCTTCTGGTTCAAATTTCAATAAATGTAATTTGTATAATCACTCTTTTGTCTTTATTCTACATGAAAATGTTAGAGATTCCATTCAAATCTTTTGATGATTCAGATCTTCCTCAGGCTAGGAATAGTATGTAGAGTTTTTAATGCTAAATGTATATCATTTTCTCACAGGATGTAGAATGAGACAACACCGTTTGTATCCATTGTGTATGAATGCCTCAGCTCTTCAGACCAACATAGTGATATGTGAGCATGTTCCTAATAGAGAACCGCAGTGACGCGTCCTAAAACCTGGAAGTAAGTTAGCATACTTAGCACTTCCGGTTCCTTCGTCAAAAAGCAATGCATTTTCTCCATAGGGTTTTGGAAAATAGCTCCAAATAAGGTCTGTGTTTGACACAAATTGAAGAGACGGATCACGTTTTGTTCTACGACATTAAATCCATCAGCAGTGACCCCGCTGGTGATTTCTGAAGAGTTTACGTGTCTGAAAAACGATGGTTGTTACCAAGTGGCTGAATAGGACAACAGAAGTTGTCGAGGCGTGACGTTGAAGCAGCGACCCTGCTGTAGTTCCTTTATAGCATAACGTTAGCATTTTGCTTCTTGCGACTAGATTTATGATTCGAAAATTATAAAATTAGAATAGACATGAGGATATTATCCGGCTGAACAAAACGTGATCCGTCTCTTAAATGTGTTTCAACCACAGACCTTATTTCCAGCTATTTTCCAAAATCCTTTGGAGAAATTGCATTGCTTTTTGACGAAGGAACCGGAAGGAGTTTACATCCGGGTTTTAGGACGCGTCACTGCGGTTCTCTATTGTGTTGACATGCTGCCTAGGTCTGCTCTGTTTCATAAAGCAAATCTGCCACTTTTATATTGTAGAATTTGTTAAATTAAAGCAGTCTTTAATTGTTTGTCCTAAACATAGCAATATATGCTTTTGAAATGAAATGTCTTTGAAAAAATAACAGTATACAGTTTATATTGTGTATCACCTTTAGCTTGAAAATACATAGATGTGTTTTTTTAATCTATAAAATAGACTGACAGACACTTTATCAATCCCAAATTGGGAAATTATTTTACAGCAGCAGTGTGTTCAGGTATTAAAATATTTAAAGTTGGAATAAAGTATGAAATACACATCACAAGTATAATGCACTGCAATCCATAAGAGAAGTCCGATATGTTCATGAAAACTCCACAGGAGACACCAACACTAACGTGGCCGAGTGGACTCCGGAGTCTGTAGTGGGCTGTCACTCAAACTGAGTAGCCAATGGAGACGCACCCCTGATAGTCCCGCCCCCTGGGACGTTTGTGTCAGAATCATAGACTGTATATAGGTCAGAATTGAAAAAACAAAAAATGAGGGAGCGCAAACGAGAAGAGCTGCAGCGAGAGCAAAAGTCTGATCATTGAGAAAGAAGCAAAGAGAACTGCAAACACAAAGATGTGTTAAAACAAAGAAAAAAGACTTATAGTTTACATGATTACACAAATGATTTGTTTGCAACTTATAGTTTTATATTTTTAATTAAATGTATTTTGCTTGACTCCGTTTTTTTTCTCTTAAACTCTTAGTCTTGCTTTATTCTGAGAAAGTGTTGCTTTATCTTTATGATACAAAACTAATCCCGTAAAAGGCCCACCTGTTCAAAGTGAGAACCACTGACTGAAAGACACAGACACAAACAGCTGGTTTCAAATATTGTTACATTTCATTACATTATTATTGATGTACAGTATAAAGACTTTGCAAATATACAAGTTATTTGTTTGAAATAAGCATGCCTTTTTATGGATAAACTTAACAAAACACTCCTTATAATTCAAGAACAAGCTAAATAAAGCCACACTATGTGTACTGTCAGAGTAAACTCAAGTCAAAAATGAAAACATGTAAGGTTTGTGGTGACTATTATTGAAGATAGGGCCGCTAATGGTACTGTGCATTGAGATCAAATTGTAACACAATCAATACTAACAACAAATGTAATGGTTATGCAGAACTATTAACAATGATGAAAGCTGCTGAAAGACCATATCAATTCAACAAGATGAATGGAAATTAGAAAAAAAGCAGTCTTAAGCTTAGAAACATGTGTCAAAACAACCCTAAAAGCAACTTCAATGTTAAAGACACAGGCAGCATCATGAGGCCGGAATAATAATCAGAAGTGGTTCATGATAAAAGTGCTTCTTGATAGGATGGAGTAGATGGCAAATGGAACAATAGTTTTACAAACAATTCTCAGAAGAAAAACTACTATAAAGGCAGAAATAATCTCATTGGTTGAGTTAAATGTTGGGAATTGAGAAAAATAACACTTTATGTGTAGAAATATTTTAAGCCCATTTGAAAGGTAGAAGACAACGGGGTATCTGATGTCACGTAGGGCACCGAAAGCACACTTTCATTACATGATCCACATTAGCTTTTTTCATTACTGCTGCACCATCACCGCACTATTCCTCATTGGCTTCCAGCTGACTAGGAACGTCCAATCGTATTCATGCACAGGTCTTCATGGAATCAGCATTGCCCGAGGCTTGGTGGCATAGTGACAACTCGCAGAACTGTGTAGCTTGCAAGGTACAGTATTAGCTGTCTATCTTATTGACGGTTCCTCTGACTACCATGGTTACAATTATGGTCACGAGAATAGCCCTTAGCCACTTTCAGACCGATAAATAAAAAGGGGTGAAATACAGATTCTAAGGAATATAACTTTCTCCACATTTGAGGTGAGCACTGCCAAGATGGTTGCAACTGAATACCAGCCCTGCTGTAGATGTTAAGGTTTCCTACCATTGACTTAACTAAGATATAAAGTCCATTTATGTTTTTATTTCAGGGGAGATTAATTATCCTTGGAAGGTCTTGTTGCTACTTGGATGCTTCCTGAAAGATCAGAGCATTTTATGCCCAATTTGGTCACTATGCTCATTCCTACACTCTATAGGGTTTGTGTTGTAACTCTGCTGTAAGACATTGAAAACAAAATACTGTAACTGTGTATAGCTATCTGTTAGTAAGTGTGCTAGTAAGCCAGCCTGCTGACATTTCATAAATGAACATACACAAAAAGATCTATGATAGTCAAAGATCTTCCCTATGAGCTTTAACTCAACCTGTGAGATTATTTTCACTGATCATTGTCCATTCTATTGACATAATGAATGTCCACATCCCAATACACATATAAGGCATGTATGTTTGGTACACTTTGAGGTCAGGTGTTTGAATAGCGTGCATCCTTAGTCCTGAGTCCAATGGGGCCGCTTCAAGGCTGTTAAATACTGAGCATCTTTCTTAGTAGGTGCAATACTGGCAGTCTGCAGTGATCTGTAGCACAGAGTAGCTCACGGGTCAACAAAGTTGACCCGATATGTCAGCTGATGGCCATTGTCCCAAGCATACAAAACCTTCTCCTTGGGGTTGTAGTCAATCTGGGTGGTGTAGGAGTACTCATTGGTGAAGTGCAGGCGTGGGATGGCCTCAGTGTTTGTGTGGGTGTCATAAGCATAGTTCACCTCTCCTTCCTTTTGGTTGTACACGTTGACGGCGTACAAGACACCACAGATAATGAAACAGTTTCCGTAGGAGTTCCGCTTGAGACCTGTCCTCCAGGTTGTTTCCTTTTTCAGTGACAGGTCTCCTGGATCCAGTTTACTGATGACTATCACCTCTTGTTGGTTGTAGTCATAGTCAACAGAGGGGTAGATCACCCACAGGCCGCTCTCGTCCACTGCAAAGTCAATGTCCGAATGACCCCTCCACTTCCAGGGGGTGGTGTCCTCGTAAACCACGTCGTGCAGCAGGGTCCAGGCCGCCACATATCGCATCCTCAGGTCATACTTGATGATGTTCTTGGTGAAGGCTCTGTTGTAGTAGAAGGCTCCATTGTAAACCACATGGCCTGTGCCTATCCAGTTGTAAGGCAGTTTGAAGAGGTTACTCCATCGGCCTAAAACAAACAAGAATATTAAATTAGCTTTACTCGTTTATCAAGCATGGGTAAAAACTAGGGCTGTCAGTCGATTAATCGAATGATTGTCCATAGTTAATCGCGATTAATCGCAAATTAATCGCACATTTTGTATCTGTTCTAAATGTACCTTAGAGAAATATTTTTCAAGTTTTTAATACTCTTATCAACATATGAGTGGACAAATATGCTTTATGCTAATGTTTATTATCATTTGAACAATGACAAATATTCTCATGAATATTAAACACAACAACCTCTGAACATTACAAATATTCGCCTCAATTCAACCTGGAACCTCTCTCATTCAATAGTGTGTGTGTGTGTGTGTGTGTGTGTGTGTGTGTGTGTGTGTGTGTGTGTGTGTGTGTGTGTGTGTGTGTGTGTGTGTGTGTGTGTGTGTGTGTGTGTGTGTGTGTGTGTGTGTGTGTGTGTGTGTGTGTGTCTGTGTGTCTGTGTGTGTGTGTGTGTGTGTGATGGATCGTTGGAGCTATGTGCAACTCAAGGCATATGCTCGAACGGGAGCTGCCTGGACGCTGTGTTCATGTTGCGCGCACTATCCGTGCTGAGTGTGCTGACTTTTCGTACAATGTCCCACTGTCTGGCTTCCTGCATAAAGTCAAGTGCTCGGCGCAATTGTCGGCGAAATGTCGCTCCTCTGTTTTCATTTAAACAGCTCCTTACATCTGTTAGCGCAGCTAGCTAGCACCAGATGCTAACAACAACAATGTACGTAAGGTCTCTCGCTCGCTCGGGCCACACATACACACACCCTCCCGGTCCTCCCAACAGCCAGTCGGTGCCTGCCGGTGAGCGTGGAAGTGTGGTCTGCCACAAGCGGGCGGCAGGAGCGGGGCTGTCAGCATCAGCTTGTAGATGGTATTTTAAACTCGATGCGCTCTGAAACTACGGGGCGGCCGAGGAAAAAAATACACATGCGTTAATCGCGTTAAAATAATTAGTGGCGTTAATTTTTTTTTGAGTTTTTAACGCGTTAACTTGACAGCCCTAGTAAAAACCCAATTATTTTTTGCCAATAAAAACATTCTGTTGCACAAAAAGGACCACTGTTACAGCTCTGATGCAATTGGCTCCACCATATCCAATAACTGCCATTGTGTAACTGTCTACAATCAGGAGTTTATGCTCCACTGTGGCTGCAGTGAAAAGATACACTGAAACATCAAACATTTGACTACCTCTGTTCTGTTCACTAATACCACCTTTGTTATCACCCTGAAACCAAATTGTCAAGACAACTACCATAACCTAGCTAGTTAACTAGTTAGGAGTGTAAATCAAACTTTTAGATATTTTAGCATTTATTCACATGTTGTTAAATTACACAATCTTTGCTGAAATCATAAAGTCTGCCATCATTTGATTAGATTTGATTAAATTCATGGTCCATCAATATGACATATAATCCTATGACCATTTAACACAATTAGTAATATATAACAATTAACCAAAAGTAACAAGTAGGGTAATAACAGTTGAGCCTCCCATTGTCAGACATAGCGAATATTCAATTTGCAATACATTGAATGAGCGTGGTCTCAGCCATGCAAACAGCCCTATTAACGCAACTATGAAAGGACATGCTAAACTGATGCTCAAATGCTCAGGTCGCAAGACTTGCAAATGACTTAACATGTTCTTATACCTCGAGATTGACTTGGACTTGCCACCAAAAATTGCTATTTTAATAAATTGAGCTTAAAATGAATTTTGTTTCCATAAAATTATAAAATTATTCAAGTGTTTGGTCAACTGCCAGCCATCCATAAGGATAATACTGTATATAGCAAACTGGTCATTGATGCAAATTGTTACACAGCTTATTTCAGAACTCAATTCTCTGCACTGGACACTTCAATCTCTGGAGGACCATGTTAAAAAAAACATTTTAATATGTTAAGGCATATGCTCTGTGTGTTTTAAGGCGTTCTATTGCTATATAAAAGCACTTTCTAACTCTGTTTGAAAGGTTTTCATAAATAAAGTTTAATATTGTTATAAGTTGGATACATTTTGCAATGTGTGTGCAAAGCATATAATATGCCTTTCAAAGCACCAATGGCAACGTTTGTACAATGCCAGACTGTGTCCACATCGGCTTCATGTGGCAGTGACACAGTTTGCTCAGGGGTTCACTCCAAAACAAACACCTTGTGTACTGTAGAAGTCATGTTCTAATCACATCCTATCTGCTATCCTAACCTTACAACCTCAGGAAGTGTGATTTAGATAATGATAATAAATGGAAAGCCCAGTGAAGGACAAAAACAACGTGCTGCAGAACACCCCCCATCCCCGTCCATAAGGCCAACCCACTCTTAATCCCTCTCCGCTGTGCTAAGGAAATGCTGGAGCACATGTCAGGGAACAGCAGGCCTCACCAAATAGCTAGTCATCCGCACACAGCTGTGAGCCCCCGCCCCGCAGGATGCCTCGCATGTAGGTGAATTTAGAAATCCCATTGTCCAAACACATCTAGATCAACAAGGCAGGTCCTACGAGGGAAGAGCTTCTTAACTCTCTAAAGCCCCTGTCACACTGTCCCGAAATTGACACCAGATGGACACACGATAGAGGAAATGTTCAAATTCGGCTCTGATCGTAACAACATCGGGCCATTCGTGAGGGCATCTTAAGCCATCGTAAGACCGCCGGTGGAGTTTCTCAGGCTCTGGCAGCAAAATCTTTGGCATGCCAAAAAATTGCCGAAGGACCTTGCGAAGGTTCATTTTCGTGTTACATTTGTGTGTCCATGTTGCCCTTCGTAAGGCCAGCGTGAGGGCATCTTGTCAAATCGTGTCATCTTCGTCTTTACTTCGTGTGATCATCGGTGATAGCGGGCATTTTTCGCTTCACGAAGACAATATGAAGGAAACAAGAAGCTGCCCAATTGTCTTAGGAAGGCAACACGACTACGTGAAGCCCTCGCAATGCCGTCGTGTAGCCATCGTATTATAGTGCGATGACATCGAGATTGCATTTATTGAACAACAAAATCATGTAAACAGATTATGTAAATAACCCAATTTGTGTTCTGTGAAACTGAAAAGGATATTACATTGTGTTTGTTACTTTCGTTGCAGTTGTGTGTCTTAAATGTAATTTAGGTTAACTTCCTGTTTTATTTAGATGCTTTTATTTTGAAGGCGAGTTTACGCTGTTGACAGGAAGTTGTTGTTGCTATGGAAATAACATGACGGAGATAAGTAATATCTTCTAATCTACATATAAAGACGGAGAAAGTAAAGAATAAAGTGTATGTTTAAATGTTAGCACCCCCCGAAGAGGCACAAGCTCTTACGTTGAGTCTGGATACATTCTAAATCATCAGTAAAGTCTACGACCATATTTTCCTGTGTGGTTCGGGTGCCATCGTGTGGCCTTCTTTAGGCATCGTACTTGCTTCGGCTGTTACTTGGCTGTTGACCAACTTCGGGGCCATCTTCGTGCGAAATTCACAATTCCATATTCGTGTGTCCATCTGGTGTCAATTCCGGGACAGTGTGACAGGGGCTAAAATCTTAGACTTACATTCCAACGATCATCAGTCTCACAGAGCTCATAGGATATTCACCATGAATCAATGTCATAAATGTATTTTTTTTTTAAACAACAACTATAGGCTACATTAAAACAGGACAACACCAGAGGTACCCTGTATGTTGTTTTCAGATGGATGGAAATACAGTATGTGTCTCTCTAAAAGGCTTAATGTCTGTCATTTTAATTAACCCAGGCTTACACTGTTAAGGACATGGTTATGTTTGATTGGAAAGCAAATGTTCCATTGCTTAGTCATGGCCTAAGGATGTTGTTCTAAGTGGATTAGATGGGGTTACACAGGAGTGTTTGAGTTGGTACAGTATTTTGAGTACTCATTGATCTACAAATAGAAATGAACTCTACTCTTGCAGCGAGTTAGGGAGCAGAAAAGAGAGCAGATGACAGAGTAGATAAAAGCACGCTGCAGCTTTAAATCCCAGTGTCCTGTTTTATTGAAAAGTCTTTCCCTTCATGTCTGTTTTTAGTTCCTGTTTTTGTGTGTTTTCCCAACTATTTTGTTTGTCTGTCCTGTCCTTATTATTTTCACCTGTTCCATTAGCCCTGCAACAACTTAACCTGCTGTACACTCAATCCCCTCTTTAGTTCTGCTTGTATTTGTTTCCTGGTTTTTGTTTAGTCTGTTGGAACCTTGTTTGTCGTACATTGGGAAGATCCTCTTCTGCCTTGCCCCTCCTTGCACCCCCTTGCCTTGCCGATAGGTTCCTGTCCCCTATGTTTGGGTCCACCCTGCTCCACTAACTGTGACAGCTACGTCAAAAACAGATGTTTTTTTTCATAGTTTGACCTTTGAAAGCAGAAAACCAAGGTCAATATTAAAATAATTAAAACTTTGGTTTAACAGTTGATCGTTTGTTGGCAGTTTATGGTGGGCCAATGGGAAAATGTAAGAAGGACTAATTGGAGCACCTTGTTTGAAGTTGTCCACATTGCGGAACTCAACCAAGTTGTTGCCATAGTAATAGTTAGTGACATAGATCTTGGAGTCTTTAGCCAGAGGGTCCTTCATCCAGGCTCCCTCATTACGCCCATAACTGTGCTGCTTCTCTGGCTGGTCAATGGATGCCAGAGTCCCTTCACAGCTTAGGATCTTCCCTGGAAGAAGCAAGCAGAACATTCTTATCAATTATTTATACAGTGACCTACACACTTTCCTGCTGCTAAATGTGCGTCTGTCATTGCTGCACAGATTGCAACATGATCCTGAGCTCCATCATATCTATCACATACCTGCTCTGTGGAGATTGGGCCGGCTGTTGTTGTTGGAGTTGTCCAGCACCAGCACAATAGTCGGAGCGGGTGCTTCAGATGCTGGAGTGCCAGGTGTGGTGACAGCAGTGGCTGTGGTGGTGCCAGTAGTTGTGGTGGTGGTACTTGCAGTGGTAGTGGGGGGAGCAGCAGTGGAGGCAGTGGGTCCGGCCGCAGTGGCCTCCAGGGTTTCCAGGACCATTTCAGCTCCTCCATCCTCTGACTGGTTCTCTGTGACGTGATGGGCTGTGTATGTTTTTGCAGAATGGTCTGGCGGAGGATGGGTAAAAAGACAGTCAGGCAAAGATAGAGAAGGAAACTGATTCAAAAAGAAGATCCATAAAAAATACAGCAGGTGGCAAAACAAGGTCAGACAGTCTGATAGAAGAGAGTAATAATGATCAAGCATTAATGGTTACATTAAGGCACTATAATGTGGTGCTCCTCAACAGCAGGATACATATTATGATGTGCTCTTTGCAGAGCACAGAAAACAATAACTTCCTTCCTCTTCTCTGAACTTCTTATCCTCTTTCCTTCCTCCCCCAGTCTGTTCTGCCTGTCTGCTCACTTAAACTGCTTTCCACACAATACTGAGTAATAGTTGTTGAGTACACCAACCTTTTATGATAGAAATGTATAGTACGGTCCCCAGCACATAGAAACTGCTGGATGCTAACTTGCATATGTTGGGCAGTTTGCACAGTTAGCACAAGATGTGTTTATTTAATGTAATGACTAGGGATGTAACGATACCAAAAACTCACGGTACGATAATATCGCGATAACAAGTCCACGGTACGGTATTTATCGCGATATTGAATAATAAATAAAAAATTAAAAAATACAATTTTTTTTACTCGGAAAATGTTTCTTTATTACATAATAAATCTGATTTGTACAGCATTTTAGTAGGATAGCAGTATTTTAAAGTGTCAAAAACAAAGTGACAGTAACAGACTGGAACAAGAAAACCAGTGTTTTTGTACCTACAGTATAGTACTACCAAACAAAGTAGGCATTTTCTTTGTGCCACTGCATCTCACAAATAAACAAGGACATTTAATAATCAGACCCTGCAATAAAATAAATCAAGTTTGACTTTAGTTTTTCAAGTAACTCAACTCAAACTCACTAGTCACTCACTCAGCATCACAGGTTTTTAGGAATATGAGAATGTCCACATTTCCAGGTATTTATAAGCTGGGATGTTTGGGCATTTACAATATCCCCTGCTCTGGAAAAAACTCTCTCGCTTGGTACTGATGTTGCTGGGACAGCAGTGGTCGCGGTAACCGAACATTTTATTTAACAATGATGGAAAGATCTGAAAGCAGTCTGTCATTTTGACAGATTAGAACAAACTCGGAACAGCGCCAAAGTTTCCCCGCAGCGAGGCTCTGCTGTTATGCCGTGTTATGCATGCCCTCCAAAAGGAAATGATATAGTTTCCAAACCGTACTTTGCCGTACATATCAACACATGTCTGGGAGGTTTTGCTATACGCTGTGTGCGCTCCCGCGAGGTGCATGCACACACGGCATAACACCGCCCCCCCCGTTGACAGTTCACGAGCGTGCTCGACGGGTTAGGGTTAGGGCTGTGCACCGTTATGGTGTAAATATAACCTATATACCAATTGGATCAAATATAAAAGTCAGCTGAATTAGTGTTGATACTGTAAGGAGACGTATTGTGTGAAGAGAAATGGAAGATGTTGTTTAATTGCTAATATGTTTATGATCCACGTCACGTATTCAGTTTTGGCGGCATTTCTTACAGTTTGTCAAAAGGTCTTCTCATCAGGGCTCGATAAATAAATGTCTACGGCAGATATGTAATATTTAATGCAGCCGAACCGTGTATTACAATGCCGTTATGTGATGACTTCCAAAGAGAAAAGCAAGAACACTCGGAATAAAGTATTATTTTATTTAAAAAATATATTTTTCCGATTTCATATGGGATAAACACCATATCCCAACATGCATTGCGGCTAAAACAATCGATGTTTTAGCCTATCAAAACCTCTGAAAAAAGAAAGGTGTCTCTCAGAATCGAAAGAGAAAAACCTATGGGAAAAACACAAAAGCATTGTACACAATTGAAACCAATACATGTTGTATAATTAACTAGGATAAACTGATGTTTTTTAGTGGATGAGTACTGCAGATATCACTGTTAAATCATTTGATCATTGGTTTTATTATGAAAACGTCGAGACCGGAAATACTGTTTTCAACCCGTAACTTTACATGGAGGCTGCCGCATACCTCAAATCATCTTCGTAATATCTATCAGACTATAGATCCTACATATCGACTGGACGTGGATTCTAAAAGTACAATATACACTTCTCGCTAGAAATCTAATCAAAAAGCGTTTTAATGGCCAAACTATCCTATAATTTAGGATTTTACAGAGAGGGTTATTTGTGAATAAACGACCATCTGTAACGTTTGTATTCAACAGGAGCACTAGAGGCCGACAACTTTATAACGTAATTATAGGACGTATTAAGCGCTTGAACAAACGACATATTTGGTCGTAATAATTGGGCCTGAACAATCGGCATATTTGGTCGTATGAGTTGGAGGACTTGTTGCATTTTTGACCCACTTATGGAAGCTTGGGGTAGTAATACAAAAACTACAATTTCTTAACATTTAAATTTAAAATGTGAATGGCATGATATCCAAAACATGTTTTTTGAGGAATAGCTGGAATATGAAATGATACAAAAATGTAATTACAAAGATACTTCAAGAAAACCACCTCACCGGGTCCAAAAACACCCACTTACTAAAGGTTAAAGGATTTGCACACGTCTGCCCTGTCTAAAACAAAAGGGCAGCCAGGGCTCCTGGTCCTTCTGTGCCTCCACAGCCTGGCTGCTCTCGAAGCGAGCAAAGCTGTCAGCTCATCTGGGAGAGATGCGCATGCATGCAGACACTCCCGCAGCACCCCCCGCTGCTCCTTTGTAGTCTGTCATTGTTCTTAGTCCCGCCCACATGTTCCGGGTGTTACAGGCTTTGAAGTCAGATTCCACCTTCTCTTTGTACTGTCTCTTTGCACTGCTGATTGCTCTCCGGAGTTCATACCTAGATTTCCTGAACTCCTCCAAATCTCCAGCTCTGTGCGCTATAGTGCGCGCTTTCAGCTTGCCGCGCACCTCGCTGTTTATCCAGGGCTTTTGATTAGGGAATGTTCGTACAGAAACCTTCAGTACCACGTCATCGATGCATTTCCCAATGTAGCAGATGACCGTGTGCGTGCGTGTGTTGATGTTGTTGTCCTCAATCACACTCCAATCCGTAGATGCAAAGCAATCCTTCAGTTCTGAATCTGACTCCACACTCCATCGCTGTACTGTCCTTGTTTCCGGTCTATGCTGTTTAAGTTTCTGCCTGTAAGCAGGCAGCAGCAGCAGCAGCAGCAGAACTTTCTTCATGTTGGCGGTGTTAAAGAAGTGAAGTCCAATTTTCTGATGGATAATATAAATGTTGTCAATGAAAACCATGACATGATAAATGATGATGAAGTTTTCAAACACAATGATTATCATCATTTATCAAAATAAATGATGATAATCAATGTGTTTGAAAGTTCCTGCCGTCCTCCTGCTTTTGCAATGTTATATTTCTACCAGAAGTGTAGTTGTGATACTTTTGCTTTTTTTGTTTAGTTTTAGGGTTTTATGCACGTGTGGTCAGCAGAGGGAGAGCCTGCTCTCCTGCTGCTGTCAGACAGGGCACATCACAGCAGCATCTTCCTCACACTGTACACTGAACACATGGACCTGATGAGGGAGGGAGTATCCTGGAACGTTTTACACAATTTAAGTGTTTTAAGATTATATTTTTTTATTGTACCTTTAAATAAATGTAACTCTACTTTCCCAATTAAAAAAAATATATAGTTATCTGCTAAAAGTGTTATCTCATTGTTTGAGTGTATCTGATGACTGTGTGGAGAGCAAATGAAGAGGACAGATTGTTCAGTTACCATGTGTGTTCGGTAAAGCAGACGGGACACACGTTGTACTTCCTTTGTTACTTTACTTTGACAAAGATCTAAAACCCCTTTAAACTATTAGGATACTGTGATGAAGATATTAAAGTATTTTTGAAGGACCGTGCCAGTTAATGAACTGAACAAAGGAACATTGTATGTGCTTTTTCATCATTTTAATGGGACAGTTCATCCTAAAATAACATATTTCTACAGCATCACCGCACAGGAGAGTGTATATTTTAAACCTGCACTCTATTTGCATGGTAATGTGAAGGTTTTCAGACTGGACAATGACCTCTGCAAACTCCTGATTGGCTACAGTACAAATGCCTCAGTCTGAATGTCACAGTCCCTGTTGTTAAAAGTCTCTTTCCTAGATGCCTTCATAGTTAAACTGTTAACAGGTGGCGCTATAGGTCAAAAAGTGTTTGTTAGAATGTACTCTTTTTCTTCTGCTTCCACTGGTTACAGTCAAAGTGATAGGTCAAATAGAATAATAGATGAACTCAAAATCAGCTGCTCCAGAACGCTGTGCAGCTAAACCAACCAGTCAAATATATGACACTGAAACTAAGTTTGAAAAGAGGCATTTCAGGAAAAAAAACGAAAAAACATGAAGATGTGCGAATCTTCCCTGGGTGAATCAGAGTTCCTGCATCCTGCTCTTTGCCGGAGATTATGGAAATGCAGCCGCCTGGTTTCAGTGATTTGACAAGGGTGGCTGGGCCCTCTGAGGTCACACACGGCAGAACACGCGCTCTGACAGCGTGTTGTGCTTGTGCCCGGTGCAGACGCAGCATACCTATTCACTCAACTAGACTTAAAGAGGATTGGAAGGAGTCAGGAAATGTTTTCTCTGCGATGGTGAGGGTCCCTAGACACTGAAGCCGAGGCATGTCATGGACATGGCAGCACTCCTTTGAGACAGCATTCCACCAGCTCCAGGTATTTTGTCAATGCAAAGATTTGAATTTGCGCTCCCATTCAGGGAGCGCAAATTCAAATTCTAACCCTAAACCAGAAATACAATCCTACGCTAACTACATTAGCTCTGCGAAAAACCTTAAATCTTTTGAGGGGACCTAGTGTGCACACAGCCATGGATTCCTTATTTTATTGCATGAGCTTCAGTGTCAAGTTTGCAACACAATAACAGCCCTATCTCACGCTTGTGTAAAACAAAATTGTCAGGAAAGCTTTATATTGTCCTCTAAATCCAGCTAATTATGATCTTGGCTCTTCGACTGGAAGGCTGCTGCCTGATCCAGCAAAGTCTCATGTTGCGTTGGATTACATTGCTGAAGAAACCAATTTTGACCCTTTTCAACACCAACAGAGGATCACACACAATGATCACACACAGATGGAAGCGCAAACTTAGAGCAAAATGTTTGCTTTAGCTTTTTTTTTATGAACACACCACTATGCTTGGAGAAGTGAAAATCCCACCTCCTCTGTGCTCATCGTCGTCACTCTTGGCGGCCTTGTAGTATGTGATGCCCCTCACCACGCCGGGCTGGTGGCCAACCACCTTGGCTTTTGCTGTAGGGTCAGGCTTGGCCGGCTTCCCAGGTTTAATGACCTCTTTCTTGGGTTTTACGACCTTTGCTTTGGGTGGTTTGGCTGAAAGTTTGGCCGCAGGGTTCTTTTTGTTAGGAATTTTTACAGCCTCCTTGGTTCTCTCTTCATTAGTATCCTGCAAACATGACATTCTGGTTATATCACAACACCTGGTAATATTGGCCTGTGGGTCTTATCTGCTGACCATGCTTATTCAAAAAGGGTGGGGTTAGATAGTATACCTACAATGTTTGTCAGAGATGTTAATAAGTATTTAATGTAGCGAGTCCCTGGGACGCATAAGTGGTCATATGAGTTGGTCACCAATAAAATGGGCATTAAACTTAATTTGATTGGTTATTTTGAAAATGTAAAACCTGAATTTGCAAAACATTATAAAAATCAATATATAGCAATGTAAGACATGTTATTTGCAGAATCTCCAAGGGACATTTAAAGTATGATCAAATCCATTCAAATTTGAGTAAGATTTGTTATGTTTTTCTGTCACTCCTTGAGATTGAATTCTAGGTTTAAGGTTCAAGGCTTTTATTTGTCATACGTACATAGCTACAGTGTAATTATGTCGATTAAAATCTTAGGTCACTGGCTCCTCCAACAGTGCAACACAATAAAACTGAAAAACTGAAAAAAAAGTGAAATAGTGAAAGAATTGTGTTTCTTGGAACCTGTGCTTTGGTCTCTGAGGAGTCCTTCTGCAGCAGCTGCAGGCTGAGGCTGGAGATGTCCTTCTTGATGCTCATCATAACGTTGGAGTAGTTCTCGTATCTCTTAAAGTGGTTGGTGAGGCTCATCATGCTGTCTCGAACAAATTCATTGTCTCGTGTAAGGTTTGTCTTGATTGTCTGAAAGATAACATCATAAAAGCAATTGCAATATGTTATGTAACATAGGCTTGTATGCAGAGTCACAAGAAATACCTCTCAATATGTCTCCTCCCAATCCTTTCAGCATAATGATGTGAAGAATAGGCGCTTTCACCTGTACTTTTCACAGGAATAGTTACCGCAACTTTTCCCCGGAACTTTTATTTCCTGGAAATATCTAGTAATTCGCGTTCACACCGGAATAAGTCGCTGAGGGTGCTGCTGGGAGCCAGTCCCCGGCCGGAAGTTGGGGACTGGCTCCCAGCAGCTTCTACTGAAGCCTTCCGAGTAAATCGCCAGAAGCGCCGACACCTCCTCATCACTCCACCGCTCCCATGTTTTCTTTTGTGTTGCCATAAGTCAGTCTCTCTCCGTTGGTGCGCTGGGCTAATGCTAATAATAAATAAAAAGCAAATAAAATGGCGGCTTCACAAAAACCTTTCAGAGTTTTACGGGCCGTGGTTTGCAATTCGCCTAGCCAATCAAAAATGTGAACCTTTTTTCTACCAGGAAAGTCCCTGCTCTCTAGCAGGGACTAAAATGGGGTGAAAAGGTTCGCAAAAAAGTTCTAGTTCCAGATATTTTTGGTGTGAACGCAAAATAACTATCGGAACTATTCCTGGGAAAAGTACTCCGGTGTGAAAGCGCCTAATCGGTTGCCTACCTCTTCTAGGGTGTTCATTTGAGACACCACCTTGTTGATGTAGGAGTGAATCTTCATTAGATCCATGCTGTAAAGTGTTCCCTCCAGGAGGTCCACCATGGATTGGAGCTGGTCATTCATGCAATAAAAGGAAAAGAAGTAGCATTATTCACCTTCTCCTGAACACAGAGCTGACATCTTTATGTGCCTCTGTGTAACTGTAGTAATAGCCAAAGTGCCCTCAAAAACATTTGCTCTGATCACTTATTGACATCCACTCCAGTGTTCTCAGTCTGGGGCTCATTCAGAGTCTATGTTAATTATTTGTGTATGTATTGGCTCAATCTATAGTTTAAAGTGGAGACTGACATCTGGAACTGCCTTCTGTTTCATATGGTACATAGCGTGCTTCTCCTGCCTGTGAAACATGAAAGTGTGTTTTAGGTTTGTGAATGCTCACGTGCTCACAAAAGCTGTTAATTGACACACAACTATAGCCAGTTCACAGAGCTGAAGTACGACCTTTAATGCTTTTAAGCCTTGTACTTTCAAGCACTAACCCCAACCCTAACAACATATATGTATTTATTAAAGATTATTATATCAATTATACTAATTTGTATTAATTAGTTTACTGCAGAACTGAAATAGAGGTATGAAAGTGGTACTCGGGATCTTTGTGGCTTTAAAAATGTCTTCTTATTAAAACCCCTTTATCTTATGACTAAGTCAGAAAATGGTAATTTAACTATTTAAATAGTTTATTTTATGTAAGATGGAATTGTCTATCTTGTCGAAAGAAATGCTGTCCATCGTCCATCAGAAAGATGGTATGATCAGATAGATGTTGTACTTAGAGCAGATTTGAGTTTCATGTCACCACCTTCAGTAACTCGGGGGCCTGTTTCTTCAGCTTCTCCATCTTCCACTCGTTCTCACAGGGGTTGAGGGAGGACGAGGGGGCCGTGCACGAGCACTTACAGTCGGATCCGGAGCTGACTGTCTCCACGGTGTAGTAGTCCTCCACACGCACACTGCCGCTCCGCAGCCGCTGGCAGGCATCCCTGCTCAGAGGGCGCATGATGCACTTGCAGCGACAGTCTGAGCCCTCTGACGTCATCCGGACCGGCTCCGTCTCCCCAAAGATCTACAAGACACAATGATCTATTTTCAAATCCAAAGATACTTTTTTATTTTAGCCCTTTCTTGTGCTGTCTCTATAATCGCCATTTTGTGTTCACTAATGGCGCTTTTCCACTGCAGCACGTAGCACGGTTTGAGCAGACTTTTCCACTAGGGGTAGTTCCGGCTCAGGGCTACTTTTTCACCTTTATTATGGCCCTCCAAAATCGAGATTCTTACCGGGCCAACAACCGGTCTAAATATGCTAAACTAGTGACGTAGACACTCTCGACTGGTGATTGGTCAGAGAGAATCGTCACAATCGTTGCACGAGATAATCCTACCAAAACATCAGCCGTTAGCTGTTAGCACTCAGAGCTCACAGCTCCTCATATCTGTTCAGAAACTAGACACAAGTTAAACATGTACAAACCACAGACTGTCTGTGTCATGGCGAATACAGTCGCTGCTTTATTTATGTCTGTAGGCCGTTGTTGTGAGTGTGGACGGAGCATATACAACGTTAGCTTAGCCTGATCGATCCAATCTCCATTCTGAAAACAAGCATTTTAAAAGGTTTTTCGCCTGCCGTCTTGTCTGCAGACTTGTCAAAGAATTAATTCATGTTTTTTTACTAACTGGTGTCAGTATGTTGTTACTTAAGTTGTTGCATATATCAAGCGACGCTTGCAGAATTTTTGAAAACAGAGGAGCTACAGAAATGGCAAAAAAAAGCTTTTACGCAACGTCGCTCCTCCCCGCCGAACAGCCGATCGCGAATAGTGAAGTATCTCTTTAATGAATGAAATGGAAATGTATTTTTATTGTGGCTTTGTAAGAATTAAACAGACCAAATTGGATATCAATGACATTGATTGCATGTATCCAAACTCATAACATGTCACTCCATTAGGCTAACCTCTGCTGGACTTCAAATACATTTTTATTGGAGGGAAACAAAGGCAAGGGAGATCTTGAAAGTAGCCACAAGCTTCCTGTTGCATGATAGCATTAGCAGGTGTGACTTAGGCCCAATCCCAAACCACTCCCTCGACCCTACCCCTCCGTGATGGAGTGAACTCCGTCTGTAGCCACACTCGCAGCTCAACGAGGCTCCCTCCTGTCAGATGGAGGGAGTAAACACAGCAGCAAGCTTTGGGACGGCCTCCCCTCTCTCCGGCAGAAACAGGAAATGCCTTATCTGTATGTAACAACGGTTTCAAATCAGCATCTCTTAGACAAAAAGTTTAAATGAATAACTCAAATAAAACTCCAAACATCTTTCATTGTGTTTCAAAGCTCTTTTAGTTTTAAACCTGATGTTTATAAGCTTCTTAGTTTCTGCAACGGTCTGTAAATATACACAACTTTATAATAAAATGCACACATTTACCTTTTTCTAGACTAAACACAGGTTTGATCCTAAGTTAAAAACATATGAGGTTATCATGAGGTTGTTAACATCGCAGTTTATCAGTGGATGTTTGCTGGAACTACTTGTAAACAGCGTGTTTCCTGACGGAACAGCGTGACTCCAGTCAGGTAGAGACCAGTCTCAAGTCAGCACCGCTGCAGACTCGCTGTTTGAGGGCTTGATAGCCCACTCCCCCTCCACACCGCTCCACACTTGTTGCTTTGGAACAGCCCTCAATATGGCGGACCCTCCGCGTGAACTCGCAAACGGAGGGGTAGGGTGTAGGGGGCGGTTTGGGAATGGGCCTAAAAGGAGAGCCTCAGAGAACAACATCACAGGCGCATAACCGTGGATGATGACGGAGCTTTGGCAGGCCATGCTCATGACTTCCTAAATAAACAGGAAGCAATGCATGGCAGCCTGAGCAGACATTCCACATTCACCCTATGAGACAATTGCAAGCTAGCATACAGTGGACATAGCTTCATACCTGCCAACCCTACCGATTTGGGCGGTAGTCTACCGCTTTTGACATGTTTCTACCGCCTACCGACTTAGCTGGCTTTCCCTACCGAATTTCAATCTTCCCAAACTATAACAAATCAAAATGACACTCCAAAGACACTGGACTCGACTTTTGGCGGACACCGTTTGCAGCGTGTCTGTGATCCCATCATACAAACAGTCCTCTGTGTTTCTGAAAGAGAAACAACGTGCAGACCGGGGGTAACGAGGAAAAGCAGCGTTACCCCGGGGCTGATGGGTAATCACTCCCAAATGAGTTTAAGGGAACAGAGACGAGGCATTTGAGTCCTGCAGGATTTCCCCATTAATATCAGTGTCTCGAAAACACATGTTGGCGACTGAAAGACATCCAGTGAAGCATCCTTCCTTCCATGAAGCATCCTTCACCTACAGTGTCTCAACTGAAAGAGGACCACAAACACACACAAAATATAATACAATTGTGAGATTTGGGGATATTTATCTGCCATTCTTTCACTTTTTCTGACATGTTCAACACCAAACATGTCGTTAATGTCTCTGTTTAGTGAACTACAGCAATCTGAAAGCCTGTATTATTTATATCACACTTTATCAGTAGAAACATGCAGGAAATGACTTTTTTAATGCAGTATTTTCTGATTTATGGCGCAACACAGATATTTCGCTCTGTGCAAACCTTTGACTCTAATATGTCAACAACATGAAACAAGAATATGAACCTGGCTTTATCCAATGTTCACACAGGAGTTCTACATCCTGACACATCCTTCATCTACACTGTCTCAACTGAAAGAGGACCAGAAACACATTACAAATATAATACAATGTGGAGACTTTGGGATATTTATCTCCCATTCTTTTACTTTTCGGGCATTTTACAGACCAGACATGTCGTTGATGTCACTGTTTACCAAACTACCACTTTTTCTGAAAAATGCATAAAATGCATAAAACCCTATATGTTAAATACATGGTTTATACATGTAATTACTGGGGTTCCATTTCTTCTGATTACCTAGTTTGGGCGTGCACATTTGCCGCGCGCAAACCTACCTCTTTTGGATTTGGAAAGGTTGGCATGTATGTAGCTTGCATACAGAAATTCAACTAGACAGATTAACTGTAAATGTTATTCATGTTCATATTATATATAAATATGTACAGATGGTGATGCTGGGACGGCGGACTGAGGCTTGCTGAGTACTTCACTTTGTCTCCTTCATTTCACTGGAGTGGGTGAGTTAGTTTAAGGGAACTAAATCTTGGTTGGATTTGTTAATTATTTTCTAACAGTTGTGTTCTTTACAATGGTGTTCAGACTGAAAGCAAAACCACATTTTAGATGTATTTGATGTCAATGTGTCTATTTTAACATTTATTTTAACTTTATGTTTTTAACTTTATAACTTGCATAGGAGAATCAAAACAGAGAGAACTGAGTTTTCATCTGCTGAGATCAGTCTGAGCTGTCACTCAAACACAGCACAGGCTGTGCAAACACACATGGACTACTGTAGCTTGCTAAATGGCTAGTTAGCAGGTTTGGGCAAATAAACTGGGATTTCAAAAGCACTTAGGTGGTCAAATTTGCACAAATGACGCAGGGTTAGAATGTGCTTTGTGCTGTGTCCAAGCAGCAACCTCCGGGTCCAGGTGAAAGCAATATAGAAGTGCCCTAATCCTGCATAATGCATTAACCCTTTCACAGTGTGATTACACCTTAAGAAAGACAACTGTAACATTTGGCTCGTTTTGTTTTGCTCCACCCTTTTCATGGCAGTGAAAAACCAAGATGGTTACTGCTAAAAGCTGGCGAGGGCCAAAATCCCAGACTGAAGGCTTTATAATCATGGACCACCAAACAATAAGTGATGTCATGGTGACAACCACTTCCTTTATTATGGTCTGATCACATCAAAAATATGTGTGGTTCATATCCATATTGCTATTGAATTGCCACTGATAGGAAGGCCTAATGTTGAAACCCTAACCCTAAACCAAATGGAGCAGAGACCATGTCAGTCATAGCCCATGTGTCCCACCCAGGCACGTGCACACATAGACATCAAAGTGGACTTGAGCCCATGCCCTTTTTCTTCCTCCAGAGAAAGTGCCCTTTTTTCCCCCTTATTTTTTTTATAAATGAATATACAATATATCTACTGCTGTTCACGCACAGTTTCCCTTTCCAAAAATATATTGATTGAATACAAAATTAAAATATCAGGTTGGGAGATTAGACTGTGAAGCTCCGATGCTCTCTCTACCCTCCCTCCCTCTACGTCTCCTGCACAGTGGTGCGGACATCGGCAGTCACTTCAGACAGACAGGTAGCAGCACCTCCCACTTTACAGTAGGCTATGCCGGCTTTTCTTGGCTTGTCTGAAGGTGAGTGGTGATGAACAAGTGACTAAACTGCCAGTGCCTCGAGTTTACAGCTAATTAGCTAAAAGACAATAACAAATATAGTTAACTGTGGTTTGGCTACTAGCCAATGGATAAGTTAGCTCAAGGTTTAGCTAAGACAATTTATCATGGGCATACAGGCTAATGTAGGTGGGGTAGGTAAGTTTGAGAAACCGGCTCGAGATACACTTGTTGTTATATTCCATGGAATGCTCTTAACATCCCGATAGCAATGAATATCTGAAGTGCTTTGACAAAAAATCCATAAAAAAACGTCATCTGTGGAAGCTGTAGTACTGTAAAAAGCACGACCAATCATCTGAGCCGGCCCGGCTAAAGTAACTGGATGGCCTGTCAGCCTTCTATCTCTGCACAAACTTATCTCGTGCCCTCATTGGTCGTGTGCGCGTTCGTGTGTGTTGGAGGAGGGGCTCTGTGAGGAAGTGGCAGATTTCTTCCGGCTGTGTCTTTTCAAATTCTAGCGATCTCGAGCTGGTTTCTCCAAAATTACCTACCCCACCTTTAAGGGGAGACACTTAAAGTGAATACAGTAAAATGTGTATCTAATAACGTCATCACAATCGCCACATTGATATGCAAATTAGGCGTTAACTAGGCCTAATTAAAATGCGCTAATTTGCATGCAGTTACCAAGGCATTGCAGGTGAAAAGGGTCAAACAAAAAAACATATCACCTC